TTTTTCTAGGACATGGAAGGAGATTTATTGCCAACACCATCCATCACCCTGTGAGATGAATTTCATGTGGCTCATGTCACAGGGAGAAGGCAAAGTATGAATTACAGTGTCTGATCAGATGCTCCTTCCCTCCAAAGAAGATCCTGGCTCTGTGCCTTTCTTTGCCTGCACAGCCTCCCCTCATGGCAGGGACTCCAGCTACATGAGCCAAGAAAGGGTAGAAGAAAACAAAACAAGCAAAGGGGACACCTGCAGTGACCGATTGGGTAACTGTTCCCAACAACTGTGAGGACCAACATGGTGGTCGGGACCATGAACTACGGAGCTAAACCAACTGGATCCAAGTCTTGCTCTTGCTACTTTCTTAGCTGTATGACCTTGTACAAGTCACTTACCTCTTTGAACCTCAGTTTTCTCATCTGTAAAATGGGGATTCAACATAGTATCTGCCTCATAGGGTGGCTATGAGGGCTAGATGTGCTTAGAACTATATCTGGCAAACAGTAAGCATTTTATATAAATTATTGTTATTACACTTGAATTCTTTGATCCAAAGAATGATCCTCTACTAAATTTGACAGCCTTGCAATGAGAAGGACATAATAATGAGACAGGAGATAAAGAAGATTCCTGGGACAAATTTCTTCCCTTTCCAAAGACCAAAACAGAGGAGAAGAGTCCTGGAGGCTGCTGTTCAGACTGAATTGTTTGAAAACACAAAGTGAACAATTGGGCTCAGGCAAGTAGTTATTGTCAATGAAGTCACCTGTTTTGAGAATTCAAAATGTGCTAGTTTCTATCAAACAAACACCCCTAATTATCAGCACTGCTGCACATCTACTGAATAGTTATAACTGATGTTCAAAATGATGTCCCTAACAAAAAATACCAGTCTTTTCTAGTATAATCTACAAAATAAATGAGTCTCAGTTTGCTTTATTGTTGATGTTCTTTAATGCAATATTATTTTTAGGAATTTGAAAATTTATGGGTAGAATTTATGCCTATCATGGGCATCTATCATTTTTGTCTGCTCTATGTTTCATCCCCTATTCTTTGGGGGAAAAGGACTCTATTCTATTGGGGAACTGATCCCCCACCTTCAACCAAGAGACTCTCATAGGGGCTGCCAATGACAGTTTCTTGAACCCATACCCCTCCACTCTAATTGGTGGAAACATGACCCAGAGTTTTGCAAGTAGTAGCCTCTTACTCTCTGAGCCACAGAGATTATGCAAGGTGTGAGTATGTGACCCAAATCGGGCCAATCTAAGTGCTTCCCTGGGATCTTTCAAACTGAAGTTGGGTGAGGAATAGATGGACAGAAGAAAGAGGAAAAAATATGTGATCCTGGGGCTGCTTGCATCCACAACCTCATCAGTATGGAGAAAGTCAGCTGAGAGAGTGAAAACAAAAAGAGAAGCAGAGACAAGCGATGAAGAGAGAAACCCCAGAAGGGTCCCCATTCCTTGATTCCTACCAGGAGTTCCCACCCTCTCTGATGGGTGACTGTGTGAGCCATTACATTTCCCTCTTAGTCCAAGGTAGTTTAAGTTGGCTTTATGACACTTGAAGAGTTTGTCCATCTGTCCATCCATCCATCCATGTATCCATCCATCCATTCATCTATCATCTACCCACTTTTTCAATAAGTTAATATCTACTTAAAGCCAATCATATGCCAGGCTGTGTTCCAGGCACTGTTTCAGGTGCAGGAGATAAAGCAGTGAGCAGAACAGAGTCTAGCCCCTTGGTGGTCTTCGATCTGGTGAGGCAGGCAGACAAGGTCATGCATAATATATTAGGTAATTGTCAGTGCCAACAAGGAAACTGAAGCAGGATCAAGGGGATAGAGACTGATGGGGCATGGGTCAGGGGTCAAGGAGGGTCATTTTCAGGGGGTAACACTAGGCAGAGTCCCAAATGAAGTGAAGGATGGAGCTATATGAAGATGTGAGATAAGAATTCCTGGCCGAGGGAGAACAAATGCCAAGATCACGTGTCTGTTAGATTAACTGAGCTCACTCTCTACTCCTGGGTCAAAAGGAGGGCACGACAACCACCTGTGCGAAGCCCAGTGTGGTCTGATAGACTCAGACAGACCTTGAAATCCCCACCTTGGCTATTTCTGTGTTTGGTTTAGGTGTTAAGTTATGTAAATACTTGAGCTCAATTTCCTCCTAAGTAAAATGATGGTGAATACTGCCTATCATTAAGTCACTTATGTATTCATTCAGCAAATATTTATGGAGCACATCCTATATTTCAGGCACAGTGTTAGCCTTATGGAACACATGGTCTAGAGAAGAAAAGAGAATTTAGAAACTATATATAAAATAAAGGCTGTATTAGGGAAGTGCTGAGTCCTACCTAAGGGCACCATGAGTGGGGCTTCTAAACTAGGTGAGAAGGGATGGGGGTGTGTGTCAACTGCCCCCATCTTCATAAGAATTAATTAAGATGACCTATGAGAAATGCTCAGCTCCTACTAAGCCCACACTAGAAGTTGGCTCTCTTCCTTCTGATTAACCTCAGAGTCATAGATCCTGAGAAAGAAGCATAAAATTATCAAAGCCAACCTCCCACCCATTGCAGGAAGTCAGCGGGGCTCAAACAAGTTTGCGTAAAGCAAAACACTCAGGACAGTCTTATCCTTGGTACCAGAGAAGCTCATCTCTCTGTTGACCCCTTGGGGGTGGATGGGAACAAGCAATAGCTTATAAGTGACTATGGGCTTGAGCTCTTTCCAACATGCTGACTTTTTTTCACCCCAACGCAGAACCAGGATCTGTTAAGTCACAGAGAATATAACTCTTTCCTCAGGCTGACAAATAAACAGATGTGTGGGCTACCTACGCTAGAGGGGGGACAAAAAGATGAACTCCAAATCTGATTCTGGCTATTGAGAAACAATAATAAAGGAAGATTGAAACACCAGTTAGCTGGCAGCCTGATGAAGAAGCTAACACTAAGGGGGAAAATGGTACATCAGGAAACATTAATCTAATGCACGTGCACATTGCCGACAAGTCTCTAGTCTTGTTCCCCACCTTCTTGGATACAGGAATTGATTCCTGTGCCGACAATTCACTCTGCCTTCCTCCAGATCTCACTCCCCACCTCCAGGCTTCGCAGCTGCAATTGCTCCTGGCATCTCACCTGCCAGTCCATCAGCCAAACCTACTTGCTCTTCAGATCTAAAATGCTGCACCCCGAGCCTGGATGGGAGAGACTGAGTAGCTTATACAACTGACCTAGCTCTTCTTCTTCGAGCGGCATGAGCCAGCAAACACCCAGCGACTCTAACCCTGAGAAATCACGGAATGTGTGTTCCCTTTGCACCCCTGGCTGAGCAGGGAGTTCTTGAAAGGGGCATAAGTAAGTTGATGATCAGATTTCAGAAAGTCTTTTTTTAATACCAGAGAAGCATCTCCAGCAAAGCCTCAAAAGGCATCCGTCTGGGCCCAAATTAAACCAGAAGTGCTTTATCCAATGCACAGTGATATTTTGCACGTACGTTCCAATTTGGCTGAATTCTGTTCACATCCGCATAGAAAAGGCTATAAAGGCAGATTCAGTAATTCACTTGCAGTATCAGCACCTGCATGATTTAAAACCCTGTTGGTCACGAGAAAAGGAGGGGAAATAGCATCCCGTTGGGAGTCCTGAAACCTGGATCGTGTACCGCCTGGTGCTCAAGGGCTCTGTAACTTGGGGTGAGCCTGCCCTCTTTGGGGGCCTCGGTTTCTATAAAAGTACCTGGGAGAGGATCTCTGAGGTGTCTTCCTGCTCTGCCTCTGTGAGTCCTGAGCTGCTGCAGGTTCTCTAGCAAATGTCCCCTGACACTGTCACTGTCAGTCGTCCAGCCCTCCTCTACAGTCTCCCCAAACGCCTCCTACAGGCCAAACTGGGGCCAGGCAAGAAACGCTCAGTCCATTTGAAAACATGCACAGAGGAGACAGAAAGTCTGAACTGTTTCTGCATGTGAGTTGACTGGTGCTGTCTGTAACTGTTTCTCCCAGGACGGATTACGAATGGGATGGGGCATCATGGACCCCATTCAAGAGGACCTGACCCAGCATCCCAAAGACCATCGTCTTCAAATGGTTCCCCTACAAGGTGGTCCAGGGTCCTGCCACCTCCTCTGCCCCAATTCTGTCAGCTCCAGCAGGACAAGAGTTGAGCTTAGTGTCCAGGAAACTGATTGTGAGGCCTCACAAGTGCTTTGTCAACAATAATAGATTAAATATATATTTTTATATTTATTGCATATATTTATATTTATAAATATATAAAGAGTTTAAACTGATGTTTGCAACAGATGGTTGCAATCTTGAGCAGGGTCCGTAGTCTCCCTGATATTGTGGCATCTTCTCGAGAGGGAAAGAGAAGGGAGGGATAGAGAAGCGCTCATAATCTGGAAACTTAACCTGCCTCTGCAGCAGCCTGTAGTGAGCATGGTTTACTGAGGAAACCTCTGTAGTTGTGGGATCACAAATTATAGTCTTGATTCACTTTTTGAAGAACCATCTGTGAGCCCAAGAAGCAAATGGAACAATACATAACAGAAATAACATGGTCTTGTCTTCAGATCTGAGTTTGAATTTTGGTCTTGCCACTCAGTCAGTAGCTGTGTGACCCAGGGGGAATAACTCAACCTCTCTGAGTCCCAATCTCCTCAATCCACAAATGAGGAAATGAGGGCCAATCTTACATGGTGGTTGTGAGGACCAAATGAGAAAACACATGCAGAACTCCAGGCCCCAAATTCAGCCCCGAGGAGACACTCAACAAGTGGCTGTTGCTATGATCACTATTAAGTCGTCCCTGAGTAAACCCACATGAAGATGGCAGAGAATACGGTGGTCAGCAACAGCGGTGAGCCCCAAAACTCTCTCTGTGAGCAGCACGGCCGCCCAGGGACCCTACACCATATAGAACTGGACCCCCCCGTCCCAGCACAGTGGTGCAAAGAAAGGGATGCGTAGTCAGAAACGTACCTGGCTCCTGCCTCCAGCTGTTCTTTCCTATGAGGAGATGAGGGAGAAAAAATAAACAAAGCATAAATCACATGAAACAGCTTCCCTTTCTCCCAAAATCTGCCCCAAAGCTCCCCTTTGATGAAGAGGAAGGAGCAGAGCGGAGCTCCAGGACAAGATGGTGGGTGTGGAGGGGAACCAATGAGTGAGATGGTTTCCCCAGCCAGAACCCTGGCCCCCACTGCTATGGTTTGGCTCTGAGTTCTCATAGTTCTTCTCATTCAATCATTCATTTACTCATCCAGAAAATGAATGGTTATGAGCACCTATTCTGCCCCAGGCCTTGTTCTGGGTTGGGGTGATTTGTTTAGTGATGGGGACAGACCAGGAAATCAGAAATTTTATAATCTAGCTGCCACACACCCCATCACTAGCACCATCATCATAGTCGACATAATCATCATCACTAATATTTATTGAACAATAATTAATAGGCAGATACTATTTTAAGCGCTTTTTATGGGTTAACTCATTTAATCCTCATAACAACCCTATGAGGTGAGTATTATTATCATCCCCATTTTGCTGATGAGCAGACTGATGCACAGAGAGGTTAAGTAAATTGCTCAAGGTCTCACAGTTAGGAAGCAGCAGAGTCAGGATTCAAACCGAGGCCATCTGGCTCCAGAGCCCACACTCCCAACCATGAGGCCGCAGGTGGTATGCACACAGTCATGACTCTGAGCCTTCACTCAGGCTTGCCTAGAATTCCCGTCCTCTTTTCTCTGTCTGGAACAGTCTTACTCATCCTTTAAGTTCCAGCTGGAGGGGCTGACTCCTCCTTGGGTTTCTCATCCAACTCCCCAAGGTCTAGACTGAGCTAATCTCTTCACATGTGGGATTCTACTCAGATCATGCCGTCTTAGAACTAGGTGGTGGTCTGTGAGCTGCTTGGGAGCAGAGCCTCTTTTTTTCAAGCTCTAAAATCTGGGCACCCCATACCCTAGCACGTGATAAGTGCACCATAAATACTGAATGAATAAATGGCCCATCATTGGGATCCAGGTGTGGGAGAAACGGGGAGAGAATAGGCGGTATCATGATAGAGAAGTACAAGAGCCAGTTGGAGGGTTAAGAATTTCCAGTTCCTGGGCCAGCTCAGCTCCACTGTGACCTGGGGCTGGTCACACATCCTCTGGGTCCATTTCCCCACTTGAAGCCATGGACAGAAAAAGCTCTAAACTTCTAGTATTCTCTGGGCCTCTGACTCTAGGAGAAGCAGGGAAGGCAATAAGAGGAGAAGGAAAGGGGGAAGGACTGGGCTGAGGGCAGGATGGGAGCAGAAGGCATGGCAAGATCAGTGTTAGGGAGTCAGAGGCATCACTTTCCATTCCTTCTCACTCTCCAAGGCAACGATTTCATGCTGTCTCCTCTATTATCACACTTCCCTACCTTCCCACTTGCCTGCCAGCCAATGACCTTGACTCACCTCTCACTGAGATCTGCCTCAAGGTCCTACCACCAAATCAACAACCTCTTACACGTGGCCCCACCCACTGGCTTTCCTCTGTGCTGATGAATGAAGGGTCCACCCTCCCAATGAAGGCCAATTCTCCACTTTAGCTTCGGAGCCCATGCCCTCTACCCTGCTCTCTCCTCTAGTCCTGCCCCTCCCCACTGAATCAATCCCTCTCTACTAGACCCTTCCTGTCTGGCCCCACATCCCTCTGCAGCTGCCATCTGCACTCACTGTCCCTCTGTGGTCATTTCCATGTCACTCTTTAGTCCAGGTAAGCTGGCTTCTATGTCCACTACTCCAGTGAGATTGCTCTAGCCACAGCCCTGAAAAACTCCAAGTGACAACATCCTTGTCTTCATTACCTTGTGACAGGATCAGCACAGCTGACCCCTTCCTGGTCACTGTTATACCCCAATGCCAAACACAGTGCCTAGCACATACGAGATGCTCAGTTAATACTTGCTGAAGGGGATAAATGAATAAAAGGTCTGTAACCACATTCAGACAGGGTGTTCTAGCCCTGCTGTCACTAACCTGGTCTCTCCCAGGACGATAACTTGGGAGCTTACTGTCTTCCCTTTCCACTCTAACACCAATACTCCCTTCCAGCCCGGATTCAACCAGCAGAGACTGAACACCCACTATGGGCCAGGTACTGTGACAGGTACTTTCACACATTTTATTCAATTTGATTGCACAACAATCTTCAGAAATGGGTATTTTTATCCCAATAATGCTTGTCTTACTTTTACCCAGTTTTCTCCCTAAAAAACTTTTTCTTCCCAGAGATATAATGGGTTTTAGCATAAGACCTGGGTTCCAATCTCTGTTCCATCACTTCCTAGCTGGGTGACATTAGGCAAGCTAATTAATCTCACGGATGCTCTGATTATTCCCCTATAAAATTGGGGTTATGAAAAACGGAGTTACCCATTCTACTTATCTTCCAGGACATTCTAAAGATTAAATGAGATAGCATGCATGAAAGCAGAACCAATGTTGTTTGGCCATAGGGAAGGATTACTGCATGTGGTCCCCCTTCTCCATTTCTAAGCACCCCAATAATCTTGACCCTGGTCATAAAAGGAACAAGTCCTGGTTACACAATGAATTAACCGGGTCATCTTGGTCAAGTAACTTCTACTTCTTGGGCTCAAGTCTCCTCATCTCCATTTTAGTTCTAATATCTAATGATTCCAGAGGTGCACTGTCCAATATGGTAGCCAATAGTTACATACGGCTATTTAAATTAAGATCAAATAAAATTAAAAATTCAGTTCCTCAGTTGTACTAGGTACAGTCAGATGCTCCATAGCCACAAGTGACTAGTGGTTACCATATTGGACAGTGCAGCTATAGATAATTCCACCAGCACTTTTAGAAAACCAATCAGTGTGCATGCTCTTCTGTTGATGGAAAGCAATGTCTGGTTTTTAATGTCTGCCCTCTTCTCTGCTTGCACATAAGAATGTACAATCTACCATGCCCCCAGTATCTTCCCGTACCTTCTCAGACTCCTACCACCTACTTGTGCTGAGTCTGCACGGTCTCTACTGGCCAACAAATCAGAAGACCTAGGTTTGGTCTCAGCTATGCCCAACATGATGTGTGGCCTTGAGTAAGTTCCTGAGCTTCTAGGGGCCTCAGTTTTTTCTCATATAAAATTGGGATTGGACTTGAAACTCTCTGAGGTTCTTCGCAATTCAAAAATAATGAGATTATCATTTTAAGTAGTAATAAAAGAAAAACAAAAAGGCAACACCATCCTCCATCACTGCTAGCCCCAGACATATATATTTTTGCAAATTAACAAAGGACTACACTGAGCTGGAAACTGATATGGCACCACTCCTAGGAGTGGGCTATACAACTTCATCCTTCAACATCTTTTGGAGTAAGGTAAAATGGTGCTGCCACCATGGAACACAATCTGGCAGTTCCTCGAAAAGTTAAGCATAGAGTTACCATACGACCCAGCAAGTCCACTCCTAGGTATATACCCAAGAGAATTGAAAACATACGTCCACACAACATGTTCCTGAACGTTCATGGTAACATAATAGCCAAAAGGTGGAAACAATCCCAATGTGCATCAACTGATGAATGGATAAATAAAATGGGGCATGTATCATGGAATTTTTATTCAGCCATAAAAAGGAATAAAGTTCTGATACACACGACCACATAGATGAAACTTGAAAATGTTACGCTAAGTGAAATAAATCATATTAGAAGATTTAATTTTTAGATGAAATGTCCAGTTTAGGCAGAAGAGAGGGAGAAAATAGATTAGTGGTTGCAGAGACTGGGGGAAAGGAGGAACCAGGAGTCACTGCTAAAGGGTACAGGGTTTCTTTTTGGGGTAATGGAAATGTTCTGGAATTAGATAGTGGAAATCGATGCCCAACTTTGTGAATATACAAAAAATCACCAAATTGTTGATTTTGAAAGGGTACTTATGGTATGTGAAATCCCCTTATGGTATGTGAAATATATCTCAATAAAGTTGTCATATTTTTTTAAAGCATAAGTGAAAAACAAAAAACCTTTAGGAGGCAGGTGAGGACACACCAGTGTATTATCAGCTATCTCTCTGCCATTAAACATATGGAGTGGGTTGTAATTCAGGGACATTCTTTTCCCAAGGGACTGCCTTGTTTCAGAATGGTTGCTAAGTGAATTCTCTAGTGACTTTATACTTTTTGTCCTTGAAAAAAAGAAAGAAAGAAGTGTTCTCTCTTAGTTTAAAAGCCCTTCCAATATCACAGCAGCTGTCTGCAGCACAATGTAGTCCTCCAAGTCTCTGACAGCTAGGACAATGCCTTATTTATAATAAATTAACCCAAAAGAATGGGCCTATTGCCAAGACGTTGGGATGCAGAGCAAATAGAAATCATCTTGGTTCTGCGTTCCGTGTGGTTGCACATGTTCTTGTTTTTGAGTTCAAGGTCACTCTGTTCTCTTAAGGGGACACAACTTGCCCATTGTAAGAAGACTCTTGCTATCCAAAAGAAGGCTGATACTATCCCCAAACCGAAACGATTATAGCAATAATAAAATTTTAATATCAAGAGGAATCACAAAGGTCATCTTCTGAGGAAGTAAAGCTAATTACAAGTAAGAAGACACAGTCAGTAAACCCAAACTTTTCCTTGTTAGTGTTTTTGAGTCGATTCTGACTAATAGTGACCCTGTGCACAGCAGAGTGGAACCCTGCCTGCCTTGTCTTCTGCGCCATCCTCTCACCTTCCAGCACTATAGCAGACAATGCTCTGCTGCTGTTTATAGGGTTTTCTTGGACAATTTTTTTGTAAGTGAGTGGTCAGGTCCTTCTTCCTGGTCTGTCTAGTCTGGCAGCTCTGCTGAAACCTGTCCACCATGGGTGACCCTGCTGGTATTTGAAATCCTGGTGGTAGAGCTTTCAGCAACACAGCAACAAACCCAAACTTTATCATTCATTTATGGAAGCCTTGCTTCTTCTGTCTCCTTAACTCTTCCACAGGTCATCACTCCCTGAGGTTTTTTCCCTTCTGCTTATTCCTTCCAGGTCTTCCATCTCCTTTTCCTTCTTATTGCTTCTACCTTGGTCTAGGACCTCATTTCCTGTTACCCGGAATCCCGCAATCATTTGCTAGCTGACCTCTTTGCCTAGAATCTTGAGTCTGTCCAATCCATCCTCCTCACTTCTTCCTCTCATCTTCCTGAAATACAGATCTGATCATGTCATTCTCTGCCTCAAATGGTTTCTCTTCACTTCAGAATCAAGGTTAGATTCCTTTGCAAGTTACCTGTGACGTTCCCTGGGCTGGCCCAGTGCTTAGCATATATAAGGGGCTCACAAATATTGGTGACTGAATGCCCTGAATAGAAAGTGGCGCCTGCCACTAGAACCTTTTGAGAGCGACGACATGAGAGACGGCAACGTGGGAGAGGTGAGCAGGGGCCTGTGGTTTGGGGCCCTGTGGGTCATGGTCAGGTTTTGGATTTTATGCTCTTTGTCATGGTCATCCACTGGAAGGTTTTAGGCAGGGAAACGGATCATTAGAACCCAGATCTTGTGAATTCCCATAAATCTTTACCATAATCTGGTTACGGGAGAGGAGGGATAATTGAGGCTGAGTTCAGACAGTGGTGGGAGGTTCCATAATGAGTGAGTGTGAGGGTGGGATGGTGACAGAGGGAGCCACCCATCTAGTACTGGGTCACGCTATGGTCCATGAAACCAAAGCAGAAACATGGTTCAGAGCAGGTGCCAGCTCCAGGTATGAGGCTAAGTGTCCCTCTTTCCAACTCAAGTGTTCTAGCAGTCCAGCATTCTATCCACACGTTTAAAAATCCGAGCTCAGAATCCCGGTATCTAAAACCTGGAAAGGAGTAAACTGTTTCAGAGGCCCAAGTAGTGAAAAGATCATGGACTTTGGAGGCCTCTGGATGTGGCTGACATTAGCCAAAATGTCCAGAGTTTCTGAGCTCATCTGCGAGGAGAGCCTGGTGATACCAACCATTCAGCCCGTCTCCAGTGTGCCCTGGGCAGCCACTGTGTCAAAATCACCGGGGGCATCTGCTCAAGAGCTTTTACCACTTCAACGCCACCGGAATTGCTGAGGGTGGGTGCGGGATCTGCGTTTTCACAACCCCCCACTGATTTTAACGCACCTTAACTGTTGAGAACCTCTGACTCATTTCATAGGGTGCCTGTAGGATTAAATGAAATATGAACTTGGATCTTTGGAACCTATTGGACATCCAATAAATATTAATTTTCCTCTCCCTTTTATGGGTGCTGGCCATAGGAAGAGGTTGTGATTTTTTCCTGAGACCATTAATTTAATCTCCCACCTCTGAGAACACAAACAACATCTCTGGATCGCCCAAGGACCCTTTCCACCTGCCCTTTCCCAGCGTCCAGAGTGGTCTGTGGGTGTAGGCCATGGCCGGGTGGTGGTGGCCTCCTGGATTGCTAGGGTGGCCCATTGCACTGGCTCCCACTTCCTCAGCCTCTGATCCTGCCCAAACAACGACGAGATCTTTCCTTATCAGCCACACCACACTGTCTAGCTGGAACTCGTGGTGGCACACTGGGGTCATCTGTGGAGCTTTAAAAAACACTGATGCCTGGACCCCAATCCTGGGGATTCTGATTTAATTAGCCTAGGGTGTGGCCTGGGCATCGGGATCTTTTAAGCACCCAGGCGATTCTAATATGCGGTCCAGACTGGGAACCACTGCCCTGAAGGACACCCTCCATGAAACTGTGAAGGCCTGAGGCACAAATACAGACCCATGGGAGGGATGGTCTGGCATGCTCTGAGCGTTCAGATGAGTCACCACTTGCCTGAAGAATGGAAAAGAGACGACTGATTCGTAGAACCTCCATGTCGCCACAAGGTCAATCCTGTTGGGGTTGGTAGCGTAATACCTCCAGGCAGCCTGAGGAGGAGAAAAGAGGGGCAGGAATGACCTGGTATCACATGAAAGTGTCATAGAGAATCCCCAACATCAGAACATTTGTTAAGTCCTTGACTCCTAAGAGTTTAAATGTGCACTGAGGTAATATCCAGAGAAGCTGGGATTCTTGGCTTTTTGTAGCTCCTTTGGGAAGAAAACCTTCCTTGACCCCATCATCTCGAAGCTACAGTTGGTGTTTTGGGGGAGGGCGTGTGGGGGGTGAACTGCAGTGGAGGGAGAGGAGGGGGCTGGGTCTAAAATCCCTGAAAGGAGCAGGGACTTCTCTTGCCACAAGGTTCCTTGAGACTTCTGAAATGTAGAAAGACACACAGTCTTTTGGGCGACTTCTGGGTGCAAGACACAGTGCGGGGGGGCGGTTTGATTCTAATATACTAGAACTTCTGGGATACTGTGATGGTTTGGGGTTTAGGGGGATAATGGAGCAGACTCTTAGAGATTGCGACTGGCCTAGAAACTACAAAATGTAGGATAACATTGTGTACTATCCTGTATCAGATCCAGAGAGACTTTCACCACAGCTGGAAACAAGTTCACGAGGGGCTGGTCAGGCAGACATTCAGTCCCATGTGGCTATAGCCAGGACACTCTACTTTCCTATTCTCTGTGCTCCCACCAGCCCACAAAACCATGAAGCAGGAACTCCCTCTGAAGTAAAAGAGGAATCACTTCTGCCTGTCTCATCATCTCTCACTATCGTCCCCCAGCCCATGGTAAGGAGAGTGATGGAGATGGAGAGCTGGCAGGAGACCCACATCTGCTGGCACATGACTGTCTACTGGGCAGAACAAATGGAGAGCTGTTCAATATTCTGCACACATAAGGCATCTCTTCCTTTCTTGGCTTATGAGCTCTCTATCCTTGGCAGATGTGAAGGGCCATATCTCCTTGTAGCTGATTGGCTAAGCACCTGGCCTCTAGGCTGACTCTTGCTTGTGGGTTCCTAGGCCAAGACTGGGGTGGGGAGTAGGAGAAGAAGCCTAGTATGGACCTAGGTCCAAGTCAAATTCTCCACTCCAACATTATTAGTAAAACAGCTGATGGCTTGATCCCGGTCTGAGTCCTGTTTCTATTTCTTGATTGGTTTAGAACTTGAATGGGAGAGTGATGGGACTGTCACTTTCAGTACACACAGAGACAGGTCACATAGATAACCACAGAAACACCCAGAGCCATCACCAGCAAGCACGGGCCTAGATCCTGTCCCCGTTCACGGGCATTCCCATTCCTGTGCAAACACACACACACACACACACGCACACACGCACACACGCACAGCCACACGGGGATCCTAGTCCCTTCCAGTTCGCCCCCAGGCAGAGGGACCTGAATGAGCTCAGCAGCCGGCTTCCTTCTTTTCTCGAAGTGCTTCTGACGGTGCTGCTCCTGCACCTTGAGTGCCAGCCCGGAGCCCAGGATGCCCTGGAGGGAGAAGCCAGACCCCAAAGTCAGCCCCACCTGGAACCCCACCCCCACTCCGGGGCCCCACAGTAACAACACTGAGCGGAGGGGAGAAGGGGAAAGAGCCCTTCCTGCTCTTCCAGTGGGTAGGGAGCTGGTTACGTGGAGCCTTGAGTCAGGAAGGCCTGGGTTCAGCTCCTGACTCTGCCCCTTCCAGCCATAAGACCCTGGGCAAACCTGCCATCTGCTCTATCTCAGTGCCTTCCCCAGGGAAGAGGGATAATAGTACCTACCTCACAATGTTGTTAGGAAAAAAAATCAGGTAATGTACAGGAACTGCCCAATAAGGGGTATGGCACAGAACAAGCGCCCAGTAAATGTTAATGGAGTTAAAAAAATATTTTAGTTGCTTGAATGGTCACGTGAGACTTTTACTGTAGCTAGAATCTTCCAGAATTGTGATTTGCTTTGATTTCCAGGTCAGACTCGCATGTGGATTGAATGGGTGGAAGCACACACTTTTCAAATTGAAAGAGAACTCAGAGACCGTGTAGCACCCCCATAGCCCCTCACCTGCTGCACAGAGGAGGAAACTGAGATTCAGAATGGTCATATGCCCAAGGTCAAACAGCTTGGAAATAAACAGACAAGGTAGGGCTGCAATGGAGAGAGAACACGGCCAACAGGTAGAGGAGGAATTGTTATTTAAGAAGGTTCCTTCTAAGCTTCGTGATTAATAGCCGGGCTATAGAACCAGCAGCCTTGGGATCCCCGGCTCCACCACCCAACAGCCTGTGCTGCAGAAACTTTACTAATCCAATTAAGCTTTGGTTTTCTCCTTTAGAAAAAGGAGATAAATACAGCTCCAAACCCATAATGTTGTCATGAAGATTAATGAAGTGATGTAGATAAAGCATTTGGCATGATTCCAGCGCACAGTAAGTTGAACAAGTGCTATTTATTATTATCGTTAGTATTACACTTGTGGGCACTGGGCTTTGGAAAGTTATTCTATCGTGGGTCACGACTTACTCTTGAAGGAAATGCGTATTTTTACATAAATTAGTAAATGATAGGGCAAGGGAAGGGAGCTCACATATAAGAAGGAGCTGCCATGTGCAAGGCACTGGAAATACACAGGGAAAGACACAATCCCAGCCTGCAAGGAGCTCACAGTCTCCCGGGGAGGCAGATATGGAAACATGCTACCCCAGCACGGGGTCAGAAATGCCTTAGTAGAGTTATGCCCAGAGGAGGGAGCAACTGACTCAGCCCAAAGAAGGCAGCATTGAACCTGGGTCTTGGAGGAGTCCACGTTCGGAGGGGTCACTCTGGGAAAGGAAGCAGCGCAGCCTATGGCAGAGCAGCAGGAAACCAAGCATAAGGGGGCGCTGTTGAGTTGACAGGGCTGGAATTGAGGATATGACAGGATGGAAGAGGAGGCTGGAAAGTTCAGTGGGGCCAGGCGGTAAGGGGGTCCTGCATGTCACCCTAGGGAGAATGTAGAAGGTACTTACTGCTGGAAGGGCGAAAAAGGAGACGCCAATTAAGGAAAAGGTGGCTGCAATCAGACGGCCTTCCCACGTTTTGGGTGTCTTGTCTCCATAGCCAATGGTGGCCAGTGTGATCTGAGGACAGAAGAGTTCAGACATGGGACTTCCCAGGGAGGGGGAAGTCAGTGACCATCAGTGACCATCCACTGAGCTCCACCTGTAAGCCTTTGGTACTACTTGGGAATGTTTTTCCCAAGCAAGAAAAGATACCAAGTACTAACTTATATGGGATCCCTGAGACAATGCCTATTTCTAAGTTAAGGATCGCCTATCTATAGTTAATCAGTCAACAAATTCTTCAACAGTTGCAAACGTGTATGTGCATGTACATTCACGTGTATATTTGCATATGTGTGATTTTGTGTATAGCCGTGTTTCTGAATATATGTGTGCTTGTGAGTGTATTTACGTGTATTGTGTGATATGTGTGCATGTCTAATGTCCACGCACACATCTGTTCTGGTGTTTATGTTCACATGTGTAGGCTATCAGCGCACATGTACCTATGAACACGAAGGCAGGATATCAGAGCAGTTAAGAGCGTGGCCTCTGGAGCCCAACCGCCTGCGTTCAAATCCCAGGTCAATCACTAACTGGCTCAGAGATCTGCCTTGAATTTATTACTTAACCTCATCATGCCTCAGTTTCCCCATTTTTAAAAAGGGGCTCATAATAGGAGTTGTTTGAGTTTAAAATATGTTAATAAATGTAAAGTGCTTAGAGCAATGCTCTAGAGCAAAGTAAGCCTTCGAGAAATGCTGGCTTTAGTCCCACATGTCCCTTTAGGGTGTGGGGCTGTGCATCTCTAGGTGTGTTTGAAGGTCTGTGTGCATGTGTGTGCATCTGCCACTGTGTCGGTTTGTTCATGCATGGCTTGGCTGATAACAGCCTACAACTAGAGAGGTAAGGTCTGTGAGTGACGGTGGGATCAGACTGTTCAGAGCCCTGACTTCTTATAAACACATGGCAAAGCCTGTTCCCAGGGCACACCCTGCAAGGGGGCTCCCAGAGGTGAGTTCAGAAAGGGAGGAGGCCTACTCTCACCTGGGATTGCAGAATGCAGCTGCCCCACTGAGCAGGCCCATGCCACACCCTCCACCTCTCTCTGTCGCTAACAGTCAATCCCCAAGCGGGGGGCCTTCAAGGTGGTGACTCACCAGGCCCCACCAGAGGGCATCTGCGTAGGTCTCAAACTCCTCTCTCATCTCTCCTCCTTGTGCATCCGGCACATCTTTCTCAACCAGGTAGACAAGAAATGAAGAAAGGATGAGCGTCAGGAACCCGATGTACCAGGCGGTGATGAGCTCCTGGGAGAGGAAGCAGTGGACAAGGGAAGTGGTCACTGGGAGGTCACCGGTTAGATGCTGGAGTCCAGGTTTACCAGCTCTGTGACTGTGGGCCAGTTACTTACCTTCGCCGATCCTCCCCTCCCATCCCTGTAAATGGGATCAGTAATACAGTCACCAGTGTATGGCTCTAGGAGGAAAGGAGGATTCCTGCCTTAGGGTGACCTCGATATCACAGACCGAGGCTTCTCAGAACGGCGAGAAGGTAGGAGGAACTGGCCGCTGCCGCTGAGACAAGGCTCAGAACTCAGGAGACTGGATCCTACGCAGGACTGGGCAGAGCAAGGAGCAGCTCACTCCCACCGGGAAGTCGACAGCAAGGGCAAGTGAGCGCGGCACAGCAGACAGAGCTGTGGACAGGGACCCAGCCCTGCCACCAATTTCCCGTGTGACCCTGGGCAAATTACCCCTCCTCCCCAGCCTGGGTTTCCTCATTTTTCAAATGAAGGGAATGGACCACAGAGTTCCAGAAAGTGCCACGTGTACTACTGGTGGAATGCAGAGAGGCATTTTTTATGTTAAACAGTCACATCTTGATTCAAACCGTATTAAAAATTAGCATAAATAACATAAAATCTATCATATCATGGATATTATCACATGACAGACCAGGACATATGAGTAAGTAAACAAGAATTAAGTTGATTTAAAGAACAATGTTGAGGAATAGTAAGGATGGTGCAAAGATATGGCAAAGATGGGCAGATCAAACACCCTGACCAAGACAATCCCTAAGCTTCTTTCTATTTCTCTCTTTCTACTCCGGTTTCAATGTTTCGCATGGCAGGTTGGGCTAGACGAAAGTCAAGGTTATTGGCGAACACGGTCTGGAGATTAGGCCCGTCATTCCTGCTGAGTCATCACAAAGTTGTTCACATAGGTATACTTCTTCTATCTGACCATCTGCGGCCAGTCAGCTGGCCTTCTGGGTCAACGGAATCTTGCTGACATGGCTGCTTCCTGCCTCCCTCCGAGCCTTTGCTCACATTGGTCTCACTGCCTGAACTGCCCTTCCCCACCGGCCAACCAAACTGCGTCGACTCATCTTCAGACTCACGACACCTCCATTATGAAAGTTTTCTGAGTATTTGCTCACCCAACTAGAGATAGAGCTCATCTCCATTTTCTAAACAGACTTCTCTAATCTCTCACACTTCATTATGCTCATCTGCTTATAGGTCTGGATCCCCCACAGCATCATGTGCCTGGTGCACTCATGTGAGTTTGCTCTACAGCAAAGAGAGAGGTTAGTGGAGATGGTGCAGGCAATCCAATCAGCCATTCCCTTAGCGAGGGTCTGCCCTGCTGGAGGTTGGAGAAGGGAAAGGTAAATTGGATTGTCCCTCCCCAACACCTGTCTGAGCACGAGCCTCTTGCCTTGTTGAGTGCGGTTCTAGCGTCCCTGTGTTTTTTCATACCCTCTGGCCCCTAAATGTGAGTCAGAAGTTTTGTCTGGTGCTTAACCAAGGAAACAGCTGTCTGTTCATGTGCACACAGAAAAACTGGCTGTGTTGGATCATTAAGAAGCGGTTATCACAGTCATTGATGAGGAGTGAAAATGTGTCCCAAATCTGTGCTTTGCAGTCATTTAAAAGGCTATTCAAGGTGATTCTGAGTTTACACGATTTTTGCCAGCAGCTCTGTGGCAAAGCCTGTGACTGTCTCCAATATCCATGGCTCCTGTACATGCCTGTGGGCCCCTGCAGTCAGACTGAGGCTGAGTGACTGGGGTCTAGCCAGTGTGGGGGAGTGATGGAGCAACTCCCTGCCTGTTCCTTTAATCCATTCTGCAGGATGCCCCAGGCCCCTCTTCCCTTGCCTCGGGGACTCAAGGCTCATTTTCAAGACAGACGAGGGCCACACAGCCCACACCAGACACCGTGTGAGCTAGAAGATGTCAACGGTTTTGTGCTAGGTCTCAGAGATTCCAGAGCTCCTTTGCTCTGGAAGCAGAGCTGGGCCTATCCTAACGGTAAAAGTCTAACCCTGTGTAACATGGGCCTCCACTCTGCATCTCTGACTCCCAGAGGGACCAAGCATGGAACTTGGTTGGCCCAGACACACGTGTTTTGAATGAATGAATGAATGAAGAAATGAATTGATAAGTGCTCATTCACCAGGATCAGAGAAGGAACTGCTCTAAGCTCTTGCAGTTCATAAATGGAGAAGCTGGACTCACACCCAGGCACGTGCTAACCTCCTAAACACACCGCCTGCCCTAGAAGTGAGGGCCAACCCTGCAGTGGCTCTGCAGTTTAGGAACAGCGAAAGGCTAAGAGCGCGTCTAGTGGGGACCGTCAGGGACAATGATGGGACATAGAGCTTGACAAGCAGCTTCTTTTTCCACCTTCAGTCTCCCACCACAGAGATGTGATGTCGTCTTGAAGTTCTGCCCCGCTGTCCTCAGCTGTGGGGTCTGGCAGTGGTGTGGACCCATATCTTCCCAGGAATTCCATGGCAAACATCCATTGGTCATCTATTCTAATCTGAGGGAACGCAGGACCAGGACCTAAACCAGCCATTTTTCGCCCTGATTTCCACCAGAGCTGTGAACCAGCTCAGCTCCACGGATACAAGGTTAGGTGTTGCTAACATGTCCTCTGATAAAAGATAAGACAGCAGGTCAGGCAGAAGAAAGAACTCTCGAGAGGATGCTCTGACCTTACCGAGTCTGCGGCCAGAGGAGCACGGACAGGGAATAAACGTGTACGGCAAGAAGTTGCATTCTAAGGTGAGACTCCTAGGTGTTTAAATTTGTATTTCATTTTACTTACATATTTATTTGTACTGTTTGTGAAGAAGAGCATATTTGGAATTATAAATGCTACCATTAATGAACACCTACTATTTACCAGGCATTTCGATGTACCTTTTCTTGTGTGAGCAGCCAGAAGGATTCATGTTTCAACCATCGAGGAATTTTGCACCAAGTTGCTGTCTGACTCCTAAGCTCATATTCATTCTACGATGAGATACCATCTCAGAGGAATCCATCCCCCAAGGTATGTGGGTGTGTCCCTGGGATGTAAGAACCAGGAGCTGTGTGGGTGTGTGCTGGGGTTGCCCAGTTGGGGGTGGCATGGTGATGTGAGCACTTCGAAGGAAGACTCTGAGCTCCCCAATGTCAACTTGCCCCAGGGTCACTGGCTTAGGTGCAGTTCCCCAGAAGCAGAGCCCGAGACAGGGATGCAGTGCATGTGACTTACCTGCATGTGATTACTGAGAAATGGGGTTCTCAGGAGAGAGGGAGTGAAGGGAGCCAGACAGGGCAGGAGAAGGAGCTAAGCAAGGATGTGGTCTCAGCTGGAGCCTCCTTCCGCCTGATCCCATGGGGAGCTCCTGAGTGTGAATTGCTCCACAGGGCTGGTCCCAACATGAAGAAAGGTACCCTGTGTCAGTTGGTCATTAGCTGTGGGCTTCCCTGATGTGAGAGGAGGAGCATAAGGATGATATAACCTCCTGGGCAAGGCAGCTCTCTACTTATCCAGAGACGGGGACAGCTGGGAGCATTGGCTGCCGACTCTCACAGCAGCTGAGGCATGGGCATATCCTCCGAGGAAAGGATATTTGGGCAGGGCACCAACAGTATCCATTGTACCCACCAAGCTTGGCACAAGAAGGCACTCTCTTGGTGATGGAGGCAGCCTTGACTTTATCCCCTGAAAACGCCTCCCCTGGGGGTACTTTGCTCTGATTTCTCCTGCACTGGCCTCTGATGGATTTTTCCTGCCTGAGCTGAGACACACAGGTTTTCCTTCATTCCTCCAGGGTCCAGCTAAGGCAGGGATGTTAAAACAAAGTGGTACCACAGGTTTGGGCAAACTAGGAAAGAAACACAGGGAGCACCAGGCTGCAGATACACTGGACTCCACCCCCCTGGGTTTCCATGCCTGCTCAACCACATGGGACTCTGGGAGAGATGAGACCCAGTTCCACCTCTGCTAGCTTCTGATCTTTGGAGAGGAGAGCACCACCACGACCAGCAGCAAACACTGAACATGGGCTCTGCAGCTGGACTGCTGGGTTTATGTCCCACCATGTGACCTTGGGCAGGTTGCTTTCTCTTTCCCTATCTGCTTCTTCATCAGTGAAATGGGATAACCATAGAGCCTGACTCCTAGGGTGAGCTCATCCACGTCAAACACTAAGTTCTAGGCACTGTGCTTCCGGCTACACCATAACAATAGCAGTAGAACGATTTCTATGAGCTGGGTGTGTCCTAAGTGCTTTTCATCCTATGGCGTGAGTGCATTATCATTCCCATTTTATAAATGCAGCAACCAAGACCCAGAGAGGTTACAGAAAATCCCAAAGTCACACCAGTAGAGTTTGGAGTCAAATCAGTCTGTGGGACTCCCGAAACTTCCCCTCTCATCCTATGCTGCCTTGCATTAGCTCATTTCATCCTCTCAACAATCCAGAGGCATAGGCGTTATTATCCCTATGTTAGAAATGAGGAAACTGAAGGTCAAAGAGTGTTGAGTGACTTGGCCAAAGTCATCTGCATATGGCGGAACTGAGACTTAAGTTCAGATCTAGCTTGCTGCAGCACACCTGCTTATGCCCTCGTCCTCTTCCTGCTCCTCCTCCTCCTCATCGTCATCATTGGCCTTGGCAGAATGACCACCTTCTGGGGACACTGTAAGGGAGGGGATGCCACGGAAGGGCACACGTGGGCTTCTCAGCCACGTGGTCTCGTGGCTTCTCCGTGGCACTTACTTTGCTGTGGGCACAGATGGCTGAGCCCAGGAGCTTCCAAGTGCCGCCCCTCCGGTCCATCCGCAGCATGCGCAGGATCTGCAGGAAGCGCAGGCTTCGCAGGGAGGTGGCCAGGACATTGCCCTGGTTTCCCACGGCAACCACTGGCACAGAAGCAATCAGCACGAAGATGTCTGGGAAAGAGGGCAGGGAAGTGGCAGGGGAGAAAGAACAGAAGGTCAGGCAAAGGCAACGGAGCCACCACAGGCACCGTCTGCGGCAGATGAGCATGTGCCAAGCTTGTCGTGATAAATCGTGACATTAACCACATGTGGTAAGTAGGATTATTCTCCGTGACAGACGAGGGAGCCGAAGCTCTGAATATGAGTGTCTTCCCAAGGCTGCACGTACTTGAGTTGGGATTGGAGGCAAGCCTGTTGGACTCCCATGCTCTTTCTAAATCCCAGGGAAGTGACTCCCCAAGGGTCCCCAGGTGGCACTTGAGGGTCGCTCTCAGGCAGAGAGGGGATCAGGCTGCCCAGGTTGTGGAGGTGAAGCCTGAAGCTCAGACATTGTTTTACTGTGGGTTTCCCCTAAAAGCAGCACCTGAGACAGGGACTTGGCTGTGGGTAATTTTTTGGGAGATGATGCCAGCAAGCAGAAGTGAGAGGAGAGGGAGGACAATGAAGGAGAAACAGCCAGCGTAAGGGGTGTTATCCGGGTCACCGCTGGAGCCTCTGAGCTGCAGGCAGAACACCTCCCAAGATCGCCCCTCTGCAAAACGGGAGCTGGGACATCTGCCCATCGGCTCATGCCCCTTGCTGGTTGAGAGACGCCCCTGGGGTTGTTAATGCCCCCACGCTTCTGAGCTGTCCTGCCCGCTGATCTCCCTTAGCTTCAGAAAAGAAAAAACCCTAGGGTAGACTGTCGAAGAGCATGAGCCCCACCCATGAAGTGGGACACTGGTGTCGGGAGGTGACATAGAAATGTCTACCACAGCTGTGGCTGAAAGCAGAGAGGCCAAGGGGATGAGGCACTCCTGAAGGGGCCAGGCTGGCTCCTGAAGTCAAATAGCCGAGTATGGAAGACAGTGTGCCCTGGTCTCTTCCTTATTCCCTTCAGTGGACCCCAACACCCCTATCCATGGTCTCCCCACTGTACTGCAGAGGGTTAGCAAGTAAAAAGGACCCCAGGGGCCAGCCCGGTGGTGCAAGTGGTTAAGTGCGCGTGCTCCACTGTGGTGGCCCGGGGTTCGCCGGTTCAGATCCCGGGCGTGCACCGACGCACCACTTGTTAGGCCATGCTGTGGTGGCGTCCCATATAAAGTGGAGGAAGATGGGCACGGATGTTAGTCCAGGGCCAGTCTTCCTCGGCAAAAAGTGGAGGATTGGCAGATGTTAGCAAAGGGCTGATCTCCTCACAAAAAAAAAAAAAAAAAAAAAAAAAAAAAAAAAAAAAAAAAAAAAGAAAAGAAAAGTAAAAAGGACCCCATAGTCAAGTCAATTTGGGAAAAATTAGATTAAACAGGTTTTGTTACTGCAGGACTTCTTAGAGCCTCTAATATGCTAATATGCACTGTGGCTCTCAATTATACAAATGAAGTACAGCCTTCCCCAAAAGATTTCAACCACAGGACTGTTTATGGCAAGAGCCTCAGGGTTCCAAGAAACATGCCTGAAGCAATGTTTATCTGCTGAGCAAAGTTCAAGCTTCTAAAACTCCTCTGTGATCTGGCCCTGGGGAACTTTCCAGAAGCATGTGTGGTTTGCTGAGCACACCGTGCTCTCTCACACCTCCACACCTTTGTATGTGTGGGTCTCTCAGCTTGGAATAGGCTCCTCAATTCACGCCCAGGTACGTCTGCCGAAAAAGCTAGCATCCTTTCTACCATACCAAAGTCCTCCAGGTGTGCCTAACCTTTGGGAGAAACTAGGGGTCAAACAGCTGGATACCAATGTCTGTACCCCTGGCCAGGCTTCTCAGTTTATCTGTGCAAAACTATCCCTTATAACGTTTGTAGAAAATGAAACAAAACAACACCTAGATGCCTGGTAAACGTGACTCAAGTCTATGATGCTCAGACAGGATGGCGGATTCCAGCCCAGATGGACCCATCCACACCCGAAATGGCAGACTCCGAGGCTGCCTCTAATATGAAGGCCATGATGACCATGGACACGATAACTGTGTTTGTCAAAGACACAGAGAAAAGCAGCATTTCCCACAAGGGCCACATTATGGAAGAGGTCAAGATGAGCAGAGCAGAAAATGCAGCAACACCAGCAAAGGAGCCAGCAAGGATGGTGTGGTGCTAAGGCCTGGGCTCATCTCTCCAGGGCAGGCCGGCAGGGGAGCGTGACTTGCAGCTCTGTTACGTCAGCACGTCTCGGAAGAGTGGTCACTGCTCCATGGAGAACGCTCCTGTCCTGGAGGGGCCTGGCTCCATATGCCAGAATGTTCTGGAACTGGGTGGGAACTTCTGAATTTGGGCACTGTCAATCACAAAGTCACCTTGTGCACACACACACACACGTGCGCATGCATACACACACATACACGACTCTGGTCAGCACTGGATAGGTCACTCCAAAGAAGAAAAAGAAGTCAGCTTAACACCTGTGCATTGTAGAAGACTTGAAAGGAAGATAAGGCGAGGAAGGGAAGGAGAGTTGGGGGTTGCTATGGACTGAATGTTTGTGCCCTCTCAAAATTCATGTGTTGAAATCTTAACCCCAATGTGATGGTGTTTGGAAATGAGGCCTCTGGGAGGTGATTAGGTCATGAGGGTGGAGCCCTCATGAATGGGATTAGTGCCCTTATAAAAGAGGCTCCAGAGAGCTCCCTCACCCCCTTCCACCATGTGAGGACACAGAGAGAAGTCACGAAGTTGGCAGGCTGTAACCTGAAAGAGGGCCTTGACCACATCCCAACCATATTGGCACCCCGATCTTGGACTTCCAGCCTCCAGAGCTGTGAGAAATAAATTGTTGTTGTTTGTAAGCCACCAAGTCTGTGGGATTCTGTATCACAGCCCAAAGGGACTAAGACAGGGGTAGACAGGGAAAGAGGACAAAGGAAGAGAGATGGAAAAAAAATCAGTATGAAAAAGTCCTCCAAAATTGTGTGTACCCACACACACCCACACACACACCCTACTTGCAGTCAAAATTCTGAGCAATAAACAAAAACTTCAGATGGCCAACCTCAGCAGCAGATGCAACGAAGGAAGAGAGGTTTCAGTTGACAGTGAGGGTGGTACAGAAGACAGGGTGCTACGAACAAGGCAGAGCCCCTCCACCCCAGGTTGCATGGAGAGAAGTCTGGCATCTAGAACAAAGGAGGGTCCTGCTCTTCTTCCTTGGGCTGGCCATCCATACCCAAAGGGCTGTGCTCAGTTCTGGGGGTCACTTTTCAAAAGGGCAGTGAGGAATAAGCAATAGCATGCTCAGAGGCGAGGGACTGCGATGCTGAGAACGTGTGATATAAGATGCAGATGAAGCCACTAAGCACATCTTTCCTGATAAAGGGAGATTCTGCTGGAGTGGAGAGGAGGAATAGAATGGCTGAACTCAATTACTTGAAGAGAGTCAGAGGAGTTAAGGTGGAATGAATACCTCGAGAGGCGATGAGTGCCCCGCGACTGGAGGTATGCAAGCAGTCTGGGTGACCCCTTGAAGGCTGCTGAGAAGGGGCTGGAGCATCAGACGGGAGGGCATGTTGGGCTAAATTCCCCTGGAGGCCCTTCCAGCCCTAACATTCTATGATCCTGTAAGTTTAACCATTCCTAGGAATTTGAAGCTCCAAGACTCCTAATGATCACTGCAGCAGATTTTGTCCTGTCCCTATGTGATTTTAGCAGGATCTTCAGATAGGAACATATGGGTCCATGCTGCACCAATAGGGGCAAGTGAGAGCTTCCACCTTCTCTGCTGTGAAAATGTCTGCACCCAGATGGAGGGGTCTCAGTGACACCTCCCCAAAGCAACTTTTGGGTCAGGACACAGCAACATGGTGGTGGGGAAGGGCACAGGTGCTAGATTCTTCCAAAATACTCAGGAATACTTATGATTAATCTTTCCATCATGACCATTAGCCATAATATGATTGATCTCAACATTAGCAGAAATCAACTGGGTATTAGGATGGAATCTGCTGCTTACTACCTGTGTGACTGGAAAATGACTCAGCAGCTCGGTGAGCCTCAGTTTCCACCTCTGTAAAATGGGCATAATGTGGTCCTATAGAAATAATTCTCAACCAGTAATGGTGTCACACCTCCCCTCCCCACAGCCAGTCTGGAAATGTAACAGCGATTCTAGTTGTCACAATGAATGGGGTGCTACTGGTCTAGGGACCGGGGGTGCTCAACATCCTAGAGCGAGCCGGCTCCTTCACAACCCAAACGCCAAGAGTGACCCCTGCCCCCATTAAGAGTCACTGCCCTGTGGAGTCATTACGAGGAAAAGTTGTGGAAGGAGGTACTCAGCACCTGGAAGATTGGAGCAGTTCCTCTTCATCGAGCAGGGTCAGAGGCTGGGCTGGCCTCCACGATGCCACAGGATTTCCCAGCAGAACAGTGTCACCTTAAAACTTCCTCAGAGGAACAGTGCACCAGAAGAAGGGTATAGGGCACCCCCGACTCGGGGCAGGGCTTACCCAGCATGCACAGGGGCTTCCTGGCAAACTTCAGCCGTCCCCGCCAGCCTTTGTATCGGCAGCAACATCCGGCAGCCCAGATCCTCAAAGCAAACTCGGCTCCAAAGATGAAAATAGCAAATGTTTCCTGCGTTGAAGAACATATGGAGAGACACTGATCAGCCGGGACCCAGTGGGCCAGGACTAGCGACTGCCGTTCTGAAGTTCTGAAGACCTGGATTTCTGTTGTTGCTGTTTTCCAGGTGGAGAGGGGACAGCAGGCTGATCACCGCCATTCAGTTTTGGACAGCGCCCATCTTCCTTTTGATGTGCTAACTGTCCCTAACACCAAGGCTCGCAAAGTGATTACTTGTTCTTTTGTCTGTTTTTGTTCCAATGGATCATTTTTCTAAAATTCCGTTTAATGTACTAAAAACCCCTAAGAAGTGCAGTTAGGTTGAGAAGAGATATCAAGGAAACCGCTATTAATCCCACCCAGGGCCTGGCCCCTGGCATTGCTAATTGTGGCCAGCGGTTACTGAGTGCACCACTCGAAGTGTTTTATAACATTATCCTCTTTTTACATTTTGAGAAACCAAGGCAAGGAATGGTTAAACAAATTTCTCGAGGCTACAAAGTGGCACAGAAGGAATCCCAGGCTCTCCATCAGGTTCAGAGCCCACCACGTGAGCACCGCTCTGCTGCCTCGCAGACACTGGGTCTGCTCCTTCCCTCCCGTGCCTCCTTGGTTGATCAGACACTGACACTCTGCCCCCGCCCCTTTGGTGATCTCCCTTGGGTCCTTGGGGAGCTGCCGCTCCACAGCGATCCCCGAAACCTAGTTCCTGGAACTGGTTGGCTTCCCAGGATTCAGCTGCTCACATCTCAGCTCAGGGCTGTGCTTAAAAGCCAGCCCTCAGAAGGAATCTGCTGATTCTGGTGCCCAGGATGGTGAGCTCAGTGCGAGGTGAAGGTTCTGCCATTTCGTGAACCTTAATTGGGGGCTGGCACCCCTTCCCCGTGTGGAGAGGGCGGCCAAACCTGAAGAGGCACTGACTCTTAATCCAGCAAGCATGTGGTCATTCAAACGGCCAGTGACCATGCTGTCCCGGAGGCTGTAGAGGGAACCAGCCCTTCCTGGGGGCGTCCTGGCCGGCCAGGTGCCGAGGCTGCATCCAGCCCACTAGCATTGGCTACTCACCTTACATTTTTACATATTTTAGGCGAGAATGTGAGGAAATTGAGAGTCAGGGGCCTTAGGTAACTTGCCCAAGAATGCTAACCCGCTCTCTCTCTCGACCACACCATGGAGGGTGGAGAATGAAAACAGGCAGAGGCCCGGGAGCGAGGACTTGGAGTTCTAATGTAGAAATGGGATTTGTACTTGAAGGTAGTAAGAGATCCTCAGGGCTTAGGGAGAAGGATACTAGTGAGAAAAAGGAGAGGCCGGATTTGGAATGGAACTTCCAGAGGATGAGGAAGCTGTATTTTGTAATACAGTTAATGCATATTGGGTTTTGCTCTGATCTTGTTTACGCCCCCTTATCTCTAATCCAGAATAACAAATGCCACTCCCTGTGCCCTGGCGGACCTCACCAGTTGACCCAGGCATTGCTTTCTCTTGGGCCTGGACTTGGCCAGAGACTCCAGGAATCCAAAATCAGCTGGGCAGAATAGAACCCCAGGGCAGCCTCCTTGCCATCGCCATGAAAGCTCACCCAGAGGTGCTACCCCAGAAACTCAGCAGCACAATGGGCGCCTGATCTCACCAGCAGCAGAAGCCAGTCTCCCGAAACAGTCTCGTACTCCTTGAATGTGGTCAGGACAGCCAGAATCAAACATCCCAGGACAATCAGGAACCTGGAAGGGAAGGAGAAGGAGATTAAGGAAGTCCTGGCTCGCTCAGGGCTGGACAGGGAGAGGTGTCTGCCAGATGAAGCTACAGCTTCCCCAGCACATTGATCTGTGGCTTTCTGTGTTATTCCATTAACCTCATGATAAACCTGTAGGGCAGATAGGGATTAATATCCCACTTAAAGAAAACAAGGCTGAGAGAGGTTAAGCAATGTGCATACTTTTATTTTACCAGCTAGTTAGTGGACTCAGTTAGTTAGAACTCAAACTAGGTCATCTGGTCCCAACCCTGGGGGGCTGCAGACGACTGAAAGACCAAAAGTTACCACAAGCTTTGGTAAACAACAGGAAGATGAATAAATTAAGAATGTGTCCTGCACATATAGGACTATGACTTTCAAATATATGAAAATGTTCTTAGTGTAAAAAACACGAATTCATTCCAAAGATTGATGAACTCAGCAAAGTCCTCTGTCACCATGTATTAGTATTATTTTTTTTACAGTGAATAGTTACTAAAAGAGACAGCTTTTTTCAGTTGGGGACTGTGAATTGTTTTTGAAATTACAAAGTGTTCTTCATGCTGGAAAGACTAGGAACCACTACGCTGAAGAATGTAGAATGTCGGTCCCTGAAGAGTCATAGAGGGGTCATCTGGTTCATGGTCCTGCCTCAGTCAGGAGCAAACTGCAAACAAGTCTTTGAGATTATTATCTTTATAAACTCTGTGTGTGTGTGTGTGTGTGTGTGTGTGTATGTGTGTGTGTGAAGGGGATGTGGAGGGAGAGTGTGTGTGTGCACGTGTGTGCATGCTTCATTGTTCGAGCAAAGAAAAATGATTCTCTTTCCCTCTTGGTGGAGAGGCCTTGGTTCCCTGGTCCAGGTCCCAGGTTCCCCGAGAGTCTTAGACTCTTAGAGGGAATTTACAAGCTAGGGTCCATGGGTGAGGCTTGATACCATATACTCAAGCTTTCCTCCTCTACATAATTTGGCTCTTTGCCCTAATAGGTTCCAATCCATGTTTTTTGGCTTGCTTGTGCAAGTGGGTACCCAATCATTCATTCATTCATTCATAAAGTACCCACATAGCAGGTATTGGGGACGCAGCTGGAATTCAATGATGACCGGGCTGGACGTGTCCTCATGAGCTCACAGTCCAGACAACAGAAAGCTATCTCGTGGTGTGATGTAAGGAGGTTTGGAAATGTCTGCTCCTAGCCTTGGCTGGGAACCCGAGTCTTGGCTCTGACCCTCGGTGATCCTGGTCACATTTTCTGATCAATAAACCTGCTGATCTGCAGACCTGAATCTCTGTTTCCAACCCCACCTAGGAACCTAAACAAGATTTTCAGCTCCCTCCTATGTTTGGCCATTTTATGTTAAATCCATGACTCTAACTTATGCCTGAAATCTGCCTACCCTGAATCCCAAATCTTCTCAGGTGATGACGATGATGATGGTGACGATCGTAACAACATCAATAACTCCCACCACCACTCTTTAGACAGTACTTACAACTCACCACTTTACATCTATCAGCTCATTATCCTCACAACCATCTCCCAGGGTAGATATGGTCACTCCCATTTTAGAGGTGAAGAAATTCATCAGAAGGAATCATTAACATCAGGATAATTGTGTTGTCAGTAAAAAGACCACAGAGCTTGGAGTCCAAAGACATAGACTCAAAAGGAGGCTCTGGCACTTTCTATGTGATCTTGAGTAGCTCATTGACTTTGGGACCCCAATGATCATGTCCACAGAATGGGAATAATGAATGTGCCTAGAGATCACAGCTATCTGAGGACCACAGGCGATAATGGATGGGGAATCGCTGGGCCAACTGTATAGGACCATGCAAACAACACCTGGTGTTATCCCTGCATGCACTCATCACTGACTGGCCAGGCCCTGGGAAACATGCAGGGAACTTAATCCCTCTCGGATGATTCTGCAGGTCCAAACTCTAGTTCTCAAGACTTTATTTTATTCATTCACAGGCTGTGGAGATAATACCTGGATTAGAATCCTCTTCCTTCTCTTATGTTGTGTCATCTTAGGCAAGTTACACAACCTCTCTGTGTCTTGGTTTCCTTACCTGTAAAATGAACCCAATAAAAGGGCCTATGTCCTCAATTATTCAATGATATAATCCATGTCAGGTGCCTAGAAGAGTGTCTATACATAGTTAGCCTTCATTAAGTGTTAGCTATTATTTTGTTAGTATTTAATATCAATATATCTAGTGCCTCTTTTGTCCTGGGCATAGTACTGGTTTTAAGAATGCAAACATGAATAAAACCTAGCCCTCATTTTCAAGGACCTCTTAGTCCAGTGGGGGAAACAGAGGACAAATAATTTCAGGAGAGCGTAGTTGAGATGATGGTCCAAGTGTCCACCACATGCCTGGGGAGCACAAGATTGGAAGCATTCAAGAGGCTGTGGCCAAGTGGTTGGAAGGATATTTGAGGCTTAGCTACTAGGGTTGACCATATGTCCCAGCTTATCCAGGACATTCCCCATTTTATGTGTGTTGACCTGGAGTATGGCCCCTTAGGCATTGTGAACAACACGTGCACAAGGAGAGTGCAAAAGTTCATGGACACAGAACCCGGTTTGATCTCCTTTAGCAAAGGGTGTGGGACTTCCAGGATCTGGCCTTGCCCTCCTCACAGCCTCATTGTCTTCTGCTTCCCCACTCCCAGGATGGCCCTACTGCATGACAGCATTTCCTCAAACCCTCTGAGCCCATGTGTGTCTGTTTCAGTGCTCCTCTTCCCTGCCCACATCCCCTTCATCCTCCTGCTAAATGCTTTGGCAGTGCCTCCAGAGCCTTCCATGACCCCAGCTGCTCTCGGCAGGTTCCCCTGTGTGATCCCTCCCCTGGGATCACAGGGACCTCTGATGCATTTCTATTCCAGTACCGATCATAACCCATTATTATTTTGTAACCGTTTGCTTGCATTGTGTAGTAAGTAAAACAGACTATCTTAACACCTGACACTAGAATTCCTCTTAGGGCAGGAACTGCCTCTGTCTAGTGAAATATTTTATTGATCTAGTTGAGGTGGAAGTTGCAACCCTATGGCATGAGACTACTAAACTTCTCAGCAATAAAAATTAACCAGAAATTGGAGATGGAGCTGGTTTTGAGGGTGGGGAATGACAAAAAAGAGGAGAGGATATAGCCAGCCACATGCTGAAGGATTATTAAGAACAAGATTGTGTAAAATTTTAAGTTCGTGGTCCTGCAATGCAAACCATCAACCACAGCCTTGTGTGAGTGGCTTTGTCTTTAGTTGGCATTGAATATGGAGCTGGAGCCCATGGCTGGGGCAATGTGTGGGGAGAAGGGATAGCTCGGATCTCAGAGCTGAACTAATTCAGAGGGAACAAGAGCCCTTAGCCAGACTCTGAGACTCTGCCCACGCTCCTGTACTTGGAATGTCTGCAAATGGTGGGAAGATTCTATGAGGTGTGTGGATGGTGGGCATGCCCTAAGGTGACCCCCAGTGAGCCATGCCCTTGTATAATCCCCATCTTTGAGTGCAGGCAGAACCTGTGACTTGCTTCTAACAATGTAATATGGCAAAAGCGATGGCATGTCACTCCCTTGATTAGGTTTCATCGTGCAGCAAAAGCAATGGGATTATGTTTCTTTCTATAAGACTCCATCTTAGCAGAAGGGAGCAGAGAATCTCCTGCTGGCCTTGGAGAGAGCTGCCATGTCATGAAGGGTCTGTGAAGGTCACAAGAAACTGTGGTGGCTTCTAGGACCTGAGAGAAGCCCCCAGCTGACACCCAGCATGGAAGTGGGGCCTCAGTCCTGCAACTGTGCACACCAACAATCATGTGAACATGGAGGGGAGCTCCCGAGCCCCAGAAAGGAGCACAGCCCAGCCCCCACCTGGACTGCTGCTTTGTGAGACCCGGAGTGGAGGGCCCAGGTAAGCCATGTCCAGACTCCTAACCCAGGAAACTGTGAGACAATGAACGTGTACTGTTATAAGTCACTAGTTGGTGGCAATTTGTTATGCAGCAACAGAAAACAAATGCAGTGTGGAATGGAAATCTGTGCCAAGGGCATCCAGTTTTTATAGAGTGGGTAACCGCCCCCCCCCCCCATTCATCGGATGATGTCTGGGCTGCACCTGTGTGTTTGCTCTGAGATTCCTTTCCTTGAGGGTTGAGACAGTCTTGTGTCTCTCTGTAACCCAGTGACTCCTTCAAAGCCTGGCGCTTAATAAGAACCCATAAGTGTTTAGAGAATAGATAAAAACAATTTCAGAGATGAGCAACTACCCAGTTAGAATAAAAGGCAAGAGATATAGGATGGGCCTGGAGAGACAGGCTGGAGTAGGATATAAAGGGTTTTGTAGGCCAAATGAAGAGTTTTAACTTGATTCTGCAGAGGATCTTTATCTCCATCTCCATATCTCTAGCTACTACATCTATATCATCTATATCTACATTATCATCTACATCCATATCTGTATCATCTATATATCATCTATCTTTATACCACATCTATATCCATATCTATATCATCATCTATATCCATATCATCATCTATATCCATATCTATATCACCTGTACCTATATCTCTAAAGACTGCTCTCTGACAGGACTGTAGTCAGGAAGCTGCTGTTGTGGGCTGATGAGAGAGGATGAGGGACAGACTGGAGAGATGACCAGGGTCTCCTAAGAGAATCCTCTAGGTCGGGGGTCTCAGCAGGGTTTGTGACTAATGGGACGCAGAAGCTGAACAAGAAGAGCATCTGGAAGGTCTCAGAGATAGGTGACAGGGTAGACGACGTGCTATTCGCAGACATCAGGAGCATGTGCAGTGGAGCCAGCAGGACTGCAAAGATAAACTATGTTGTGGACCTTCAGAGTTTGAGGTCCAAGTGGAAATATCCAGCAGGCTGATCGAAATTTAAGTCAGGCGTAGGGGAGAGGTCGGCGCTGGAGACCTAAGTCCCTTTCAGCTCTACTAGTCCGTGATT